AAAAGCAAATCCTGGTGGCTTAAATGCATCAAAAACGTAATTTTTGTATCACCAAGCGTAAACACTAAATGTCCGTCGCTACGCTCCGGCCAATAATACCTATAAATATAACCGTTGCGTTCAATTTTTAAGTAAATCATTATTTTAATTTATTAAGTAAAAAAAATTGGGCTTTCTATGCCGTATTTTCAATAGTCAGAAGACTCTTAAACGAGAAAAAAGTAAGTTTCATATATTTCACGCGTTTCTCTAAAACAAAGTTATTTTGGAGTGGGGCTTTTTTGCCAGGCTCTTGTGCCGTGCGCGCAAGTAGCTGAACTCGGGTGCGTGTAATCACAATAGGGGTGTGGTCCCCTGCACGCTGGCCGTTCCATATTTCTTTGGGAGGAGGAGGTCAACCAAAAGCTACCAAAAGCATTCGGAAAAGGAGTTGGTTACGTGCCTTCTACGAAAATGAACTTACGAGTTAGAATTACGGTTGCATTCCCATATAAGCACTTTCTACATAAGCACTTTCTATTTATAAGACATTATTTTTTGAACCAACTACTGTTAAATATTTTTTTAAAAAAACTTTATATAAGCACTTTCTGAGCATATTTTTTATATAAGCACCTTCTAATACATTTATATATAAGCATATTTTAAGTATTTAAGCACATTTTAAGCATATTTCTATATAAGAACACCCTTTACAGGTCCCATTGTGTTTATATTGGGTGTGCGACTACGTTTGTTGCATGCTTTGCACTTAGCTATTCTGATGATTTTAATATAATTACTTTTTTCCTTTTCATACAGTTGTCCGAAGCTAAGAATAAAGAAAACAACCATACGAACAAGAAAAAAGGATACTGTACTATGTCATACACAAGTTCTATAAACTCTCACATCGATTTCAAGAATCAACCCGTAGAATCAACGAACGATATCAATAATCTAAAAATATTCCTATTAAATTTTTTTAAATCGCCATCCTTCATACATGGAGAAGACCGTTTTAAATATCCACAAGGACCATGTATCATATTTTGAGTAACAATTTCATAAAGCTGAGGTTGTGTGGTTGGATCTGGAATCTCAGCAGAAATTAAATTATCATAATCATCTGATGTTTGTGGTTTATCTTCTGGAGTAAGAATTATAAGTATATGTGCATGTGGTAAGCCTCGTTTTTGAAGCGATCAAGTTATTCGCTGTTAAGTGCAAATGAAGCGGTATTACAAGCGGTTACGGAACTTCTATTGCCAAATAACAGGATTCCAGAATTGTGCTTAAGGAAACGGTAGATTTGGATTTGCGGATATGATTTTTGGTGATGTTAATTATTCAATAATTGAATTAAAATACGTCAATATCTTAGGTTTAATAGAGGCGACAAAAAATGATTGGAATGTATCTCCATGTACGAATGATTTATATCTGTTAGTAATATAATGTAACGATCAGGTAATAATCACAGAAGAAAATCGAATGTCGTCATAGAACTGAATGGATAACAGGGATATCCAAAAGTAGGTTTGAAAACTAGCATTAGTACGTACGTACTACAGTTCACCACTTTTTGTACTAACAGTTTTAATTTTTTTTAGTTTATACGCTTGGTCCTGGCTAGAAAACTTAAATCAAGAAAAATGGACGAGAAAGATGGTAAGAGAGTTCATAGAACCTTTCAGGTATTTTTAATCTTGCACTATTTCGAAATGGTAGGTATGATTAGCGAAACATTTTTAGGAATCCAAGACAGGAATATATACTCCGTTTGGTGTCGAGGGGAAGATGGTAAGACCGCCCCATTGTCGACCATTCCAATAATAACCATTCCAATAATAACCATATGGGACGTGGTAGCCCTTCTTTGGACAACCGTTCTGATCCGAACCTATTATGATTCCATTCCACTTACAACTTGGCCCAAATAAATTGATTTTTATTTACATGCTATAATTTTTTGCGAATTTTAGATAGATATACAATTAATAGTCAGGATAAAATTTTTATTATAATATTATGTTTCTGTTGTAGAGCTTGTTGATTTACGTTAATAAACAAAATAAAATTAAAAAATTGTAGAAATACTAGCTTTACATTATAAACAAATATATACATTTATATTAATTAAGCTAAAAAAATGATCCCAAGCGATTTTATTGCACAAATTTTAACATTTAAAGACTAAATGAATTCTAAATACCCTAAAAAATGTTCTAATTTAATATAGCATAACAATATCCTGCTCATTATATCCCATACTAAGCAAAGCTTCTTCAACAGCTATCATCATATTAAATGGTCCACAAACGATAATTTTTTTTTGTATTACATCATTCCATTGCATTGAATTTACTAAATCCAGCTTAATTTTTTTTTCAGATATTCCTGATTTTTCCATTGGTACATTTATTTCTCTTGAATTCGGTGCTGTTGTAGAATTCAGTGTATCTGCTGTTTCATGAGATAAAAGTGATAACTGTGATTTAGAGCCGATATCTGGCGAAGGACTCTTACTCTGTTCGTCAGAGTTAGATGGTTTATAATGATCTTGAAGAATATACATATAATTACTATCTTCCGCTGTTGTTTGCGACTTGATTTTGGTTTGCTGATTAGTTGATATTATACCCTGCGATATATTCATCCAGCTTTGTAATATTTGTAGATTAATTCTCCCTTGAAAACCAACCCAATCTGGAGGCGGATCTGTGAGACAGTATGTTATAGTAAGTTGTCCTCCGCTTGAAAGTGCCATATCTTCGAGTAATATACCATCAATTATATCTACAATTTTATGGTTTCCAAATAATAAATGCATTCGTTTAAAACTAAAATTTCGTTTGGTGTCGTTATTTCGTTTTATTGACCGTTCCAGATAATACTTAATTAACTGTTAATAATTTAGAGATAATTAATTATAATATTAAGTTAAATTAGTTTTTCTTTCGCTTAAGTATATTAAGAGAGAGAATATTAAGAGAATGCAAATAAATTACCTGTAGCATTGGCGTTATTCCAGTACCACCTATAAACATAAGAAAAGGTTTTGATTAAGAAAACTCATCAGGGCATAACATTTTAATAATAATAATAATAATAAAAATACCGGCAATCATATATAATTCGTCCCAGCAACCATCCAAACAATTTGGGTTTAATAGAGAAGTTTTTATCAGTGACGATATTCCAGTAAATACAGTGTAAGGACTTGCGTAAGGACTTGTTGGTGAATAAAAGCCTTTTCCCAAATTAGAGTACGGTGCAAAAGTTAATGGCTTTGTAGGCAAAAGATGTGGTCTAGGTCTATTACAAATATCAAATGGACCACGAGCTTGAATTTCATATCCTATTAGTTGCTCCTTCTGAAATGATAAAAACCAAACATTACTATTAGGGATCTAAAGAAATTTTATTAATAAATAAACATATGCAAAATAATTATACATATACAGTACATACCAAATGTTGCGAAAAGAGTCCGTTCGGATAAATTTTAACACAAATTGAAAATGATTTAAATAAGCTGCCTTCTAACGGAGTATAACTCCTAATCACATTCTGTCCTTTTACTCTAGATTGCATTTCAATATAATGTCCGGGCAAGAATTTTTGATTTCCAATAACATTCTCATCCTGATGTATTCTAGAAAACGTAAATCTTATTACAGGATATTTAACATTTGCATTAACCATTACTTTGTTTGTAAGTTTATAACGATGAAATTGAATATTTTTAATTATAAATGTTCTATTAAGTTCAGAGTAAGTCTTTTCGCTTTCTTGAATTGTAGAAAAAGTAGAAAAAGAGCAATTATCATTTATGGTCAAATGTCTTTTTTCAACCACTTTGCCTATTACCATTGACGCCATTCTTTGTGTGGCAAACCTACTATGATTATGTTGCGCTAATGGTGTCTTTAGATAGTACATTTTGTTAATATTATCAATTAATCTGGAAATTGTGGACAGTTTCCGAGGCAATGACACTCCTTGAAGGTGACTTAAATACTTTGTAAGCACAGATGGAATATTTCCAGAGGATATGTCTTTTGGAATAAGTAAAACTTCCGGAGAATCTATCTCTTCATCAATATCTATTCTTTGATGTGTATTGTAAAAATCTACAGTATTTTAAAAATATTTCACATTTTAATTAGTAGAAATACATTTAATATAAAAAGACTTAATAATTCATACCATTCGTAATATCTGTTCCAATAACCTAATGATAGTGAAATAATAAATTAATTAACGCTAAATCAATGTAAACAAATATTACCGGTCAAATAAAAGATTATATTTAGATTATATTTACATTTACTAGTATTTTGCTACCTCCTATTAAATGAATGTATTATGTATTAATTTATCGTTATGTAAAAGGTGAATGCTAGAAAAAATGCCGACCTGGATGAGAATAAGCCCAATCAAGAATATCCACCACGAATCCGTCGCAAACGACCAAATACGCCTATATTATGAACCATCGAGTTAATTATTTTAAAAATGCTCAAAATAAACTTAGTCTAATTATGATAAAACCATTTAACCTACCCCACGCTGAACTCTCTCATTAATCTCTTCCCAAGTAAATTCTGGTAAATTAGCATAATCCTCATAGTTGATATAAGAAAGCATCTTCATTTTTTGTTCGCAAATAGACTTGTTTCTAAAGAAGGATTTCTGAAAATTTCCTTCAGAAAGCCACCAAAGTTCACCAACTAAGAAAGCAATAATAATTATTGCCATCCAACAAAAGTATGCAACTTTCCACCGATACGAATCACTATTTTTTGTAATAAGATTTACTAATCAAAAATAAAAACCGATAGGATGCATTAAATATATTGAAAGAGTTATACTTACTAGCCATAGGAAAGACAAAAGGTATCGATTCCTACAAATAATATATAAAAAGATTAATATTTATAAAACCATATATATAAAAGAATTAGTTTTATACAATTTTAGTCACCAGTATATACATTAATCCTACAATTTTTTACATTATATTGATATATAAAAAAAAACGAAGATTTAGTATCATAAAAATGAAATAAAGTGATAATTATACTAATATCTTACCATGAAAATATTAATAACAATGCACCAAATACTTGATGAAAGCGTTTTGTAAACCTTGGATACCCCTATCAAATTATTTAACACGATTAACCAATTTACTAAATATATAAACAATTTAAATGTTAACAAACCTTATTCACAGATATCACAGATGCTTGCCCCCATATAGCAATTAGGCCTAGGCCTATGAAATATTCAATAATTAATTACAAATAATTAATTGTAAAGCTTAAATTCAACGAATAAGTACCTAATTCGATAAATGAAAAGGTAAATATGAACACTCCCATCCTAAAATTTATAAATATATAAATAATTATTAGAAAAGAACAAATAATAAGCAAAACATAAAACAAAGATAAATAAAAAATAAATACCACGCATGTTGCGTTTGTGTTTTTATCACCGTAGAGATAGCAGCAGATCCAAACGCTGAAATTGAAATACCACCAACCAATTGTATAAATTTATGAATTTTAAGGTACACATTAAAATGCTATAAAATAATCAATTTATATTAAAAATGCAGGTGATAAAGTAGTAGAGATATTAATAGTATAAAGCCTACCTTACAGTACCGAACAATAAAAATTGATACTGGAAACAAGATGCTAGAACCATAAAGATTTATATACATTATTATCATTTGTCATGTTTCAGTATTTATGAATAATAGAGAAAAGTATTATATTTACCACCATGTAGAGAACATTCCAATTCCATGAATAATTCTTATCAACAATTGGAAGATAGTTGTAGTCGCAGCACTGACTTCACTGTTATAAAAGTTCACACGGGCCATCATGCGATTGTTTAAGTGATAAGAAAAGGCATTACTATTTGGATTATAAGCCATGATATCTATATACATAATAATAAATTACATAATAATAATAATCAATATTTAATTTCAAGTATTATAAACCATAACTAAAATTTAAAATTTCTCACATTTCATATCATTATTTGTAATTGGTTTTCTTCCTGGAGGTTGGAGAAGTCTTTTAAACTCTACGGTTACAGCTTTAGATTCAGACATCGAAAACACTGGCGTAAGA